TGGGTTGAGAGAAGACTTGGATAAATCAAGATCTGCTGAAAACCTTAAGTTTTGGTCAAATGGCTTTAGTGCAGGAAATCKCTCCATGAGAGTTGAGTCCAAATCTTTCTGTTGGCTACATCTTGAATCACGTCTTCCTGGGAGATCCTCAGGAACACCACCACCACAAACAGAAACCACAGTATTTATCAAGGGCTTCCTTGATCTCATTCCTTCTCCCAACAACCCTCCAAGGTCTGGGGTACCATCTCCCTCATCTTAGGAATGAAGAAAGCTAGGCCTCGGGTGGTGCAATAGCATCCATAGTCCTTACCTTCCTCCTCCATGGGCCACTTATGCCAGCCAACTGGCTAGAACCAATCAACATGCCAGAACATTTTAGAATAACATGCTAGAACCAGTCTGATTCCCCAGGGTCATCAGAACTGCTTTCTGAGAGTCTGAACACTATTGCTTCAAGTGAACTTCCCAGGGACTCACTACCTGCCGCCACTTGCTCAAGGCCCAGAAGTTCCACCAATACCATCCTGCCATGGGGGAGTCACAGGTGTCCTGCTCCCTTCTGGCAGTGTAGGTATGAGTTAATGATAAAAGAGGTTAAATGCATGAAATAATAGACCAAATGGGGAGAAATACAGTAAGAAGGGGTACAGGGAGAAAGAAAAAAATCTTGCTTTCTGATAAGGAAGAATAATACTACCTAAAATGTCCTGAGAATGAATTTCCATCTTCTAGACAACATACCTACTTTCAACCTGGGCCCAGATGTTATGCTAGAAGAGGAGGAAGAAAGGAATAACAAGAACATTTGTTGTGTTTATTGGGAAATCATAAAACCATGGTAATTGTACAGTAGGGGCTATCAAAAGGATTACGATTCTGGGTATATAGGGTTTCCTAACTACAGAGATTCTTGAGATTGGACTTATTGCCTCCAAATAAATGTCTTCTCTTTAGTGTCAGCAGAATGGGAGTAGGGAGGAGACCACTCGCTTCTTGAGCCAGTGGGAGCCAAACCCGCCCGAAATTCAGACAGCATGTTTTCTTCGTCTGAAGGCAAGTGTGTGTCCCCCCCCCCCCCCCCCGTTTGAAGGCTCTGATGAGACTGAGGAAGTCTGTGCAGTGCTGGTTACCTGGCTTTCCATCTGCCAAGACAAAGAGAATGAGTTAGAGACTTACAACGACAACAGCAGTGGAATCAATATTGATTCACTTATGGATATCTGACTTATATTTTTAACAAAAGAGCCAACTGTAAATGCAAAGTTTCAATACTCATTAATCATTAAACACACACACACACACACACACACACACACTCACACATGTTATCATTAGTCCTCCTCTTTGTTGCTCCCCTCTCTTTTCTCTCTCAGTGCTCCTTGGCATTTCCCCCACACTGCTGCTGTCCTTCTCCCACTGCTCATCTGCTCAGTCACTGGGGTCCACCTCTGTCTCAGAGCAGGTACAGTGACTCCATGCTGTCCAGTCTGGCACCCCCACCAGGTCTAACCCTTGCTCTGCAGTGAGACAGCTCTGTGCTCACCTCAACAATTTCATTGTCTTCAAGCCCAGGAGGCATTTCTAGGAACTGGTCCATGTCTCCATTTTTTGGTGGTTTACACTTGGGCAAGTTCTAACAAGCTTCAAGTTCCTGATGACTGACCTCACACATATGAGGAGAGACACTGCTGGACGGCTGGAGATCCTCCTCCTGAGGGGCACCAGAGAGCATAGGATCGTCATTGCCTTGGTCATCTTTCCGATTGTCCAGAATGCTTAAGATTTTTTATTAGATCATCCAGGTCCCAGAGGGTCTGGTTTATCCTCTTCTGGGGGCACTTGTCCACCTTCTGGTACTCTTCCTTTGGAGCCCAATTAGCTACTGAGTCTTCATGGTGCCAGACAGATAGGCATCCAAGACCTTGATGGCTTCTCTGCCAAGCTTCTCTGGGTGGTCCTGAATTTGATTTCGTCTCCCCAGGGGTCTCCTTACACTTTTGGTTCCCCTGACCCCTTGGACAGGAGGGAGGAAGTGGTAGGAAGAACCCTCAGAAGTCACATCTTCACAGGGTATGGTATCCTCACAGTCAATGCTGTCCTCATAGGGGAAACAGACTACAGAGAGGCTCTGGTTGGATTTGGATTCTGAAATGCATTGCTCCATGTCAGGGAAGTTGGTGCTAGAGGATGAGTCTTCCGTGGAGTCCAAGGACTCAAATGCCCAGTCTCTCTCAACACTGGAAACTTCAAAACAAAAATATTAGCAGGTGATATTGGGAAGAGGAGTCATGTACTTTAGCAAATCATATCTTTTCCTTTTTCCACTCATAACTATCCTATATTTGCACCCTCCAGTCAAGGGCAGAAGAAGCAGTTCTTCCCCTTTAAAAACTTATTTTATTTCATAATAACCCTCTGCACTGAGTATCACCAGCTAATACCTCTCTTGCTTTGTCTTCTTACTACAGTTGAAAGAAGTACCTATCATAAAAGATAGTTGTATAAAACATGAAAAATACAAGAAAGTAAAAAAAAAAAAAAGAAAGTAAATACCCTTATCCTACCATCCAGGGGGAATGATAATCATCAGGAAAACAGTTTCATGGATTCATTTATAATCTTCTTTTTCTTTATATATACATATGTGTACAAATTATACATATATGCCCACATCCATATATATATTGAAGACAAATCAAAGAAAGTGAGATATAACTTTTATGGCACAGCCTGCAGGAAACACACATATATGGCTATTTCATAATTCTTAATCACTTTCTCATGAATTCTTTTTGGTGAATACTTATTATTGATCATTGATTGAGGTGACCTATGACCCTTAGATTTTTAAGACCATTAACAATGGTCTCATTGATAATAGTAAACCCCCTTATGCACAAATTTCTTCCTCTTTTCATAGTCCTATAGGTTGGGCAATTGGATTAAAGATTACAAATATATTAAAGTTATGATATTTGATACTAAATTACTTTCTAGAAAAGATGCAGCTGTTTAAATGTCTGTCCTCCCATCATCTGATGGCGTCTTTAGTCCAGCATTTCCTATGTTACACCAGTAGGTCACTGGGGAAGAGAATGCACACAAATGACTCTCTCTCTCTCTCTCTCTCACACACACACACACACACACACACACAAATTGGAGACTCTGTCAAGTCTGGCTTTTCTGACTTCCTGTGGGAAAGAGATGCTGCCAACTCCTGAGGCAGACACAGGCTACATGAAGTCCTTCAGATCCTTAGTCCAGTGACTAATAGGAACTGTCAGAAGTCTGTATTCTGAAACTGTTGGCTACCGTGGCAACAGAGGAACCAAATTAGAACCAGAAGTGTGCAAGGAGAAAAAGGGGATAGAAACCAAAGAACCTCTGTCTTAGCCACGTTTTTAAAAATTTGTTTTAATTAGTTATACATAACAGCTATTATGAGTTGAGCTGCTATAAACTTTAATGTGACCACATCACTGTAATATGCTGATTTTAAGTCCTTTGGGTATAAACTGAATAGTGGGATAATTGAGTTAAATGGTAGTGCCATTTTGAGTTTCTTAAGAAATCTCCACACTKCTTTACACAGTGGCTACACAAATTTGCAGTCCCACTAGCAATGTATAAGGGTTCCCTTTCCCCCACATCCTTGCCAATATTTTTTGTTGCTTATATTCTTGATAATTGCCATTCTGACTGGAGTGAGATAAAATCTCAAGTGTAGTTTTGATTTGCATTTCATTAATTGCTTAAGATGTTGAATATATTTTTCATATATTTGTTGATTGTATTTCTTCTTCTGTGAAGTGTCTGTTCAGTTCCTCAGCCCATTTGTTGATTGGGTTATCCGGTTTTTTTGGTGTTAAGTTTTTTTGAGTTCTTTTTGTATCCTGGAGATGAATGCTCTATCTGAGGTGCATGGGGTAAAGATTTCCTCCCATTCTGTAGACTCTCTCTCCATGCTATTATTTCCTCTGCCAAGAAGATTTTTATTTTGAATCCATCCCATTTATTGAAGGCGATGATTTCTAGTGTAATAAATCATGCAGGAAACAAAGGCCACATGATTTCAAATTCAAAAAAGTAATGGAAATGTTTATTTTTTTTTTATCTTGATTGTGTTGGTTACAGAGATGTCAAAACTGATCGGATTCTATACTTCAAATATGTGCATTTTATTGTACTTCAACTTTACTTCAATAATACTATGAAAAAAAAAGTAAGTAAGGTGTCATAAAGATGCAGGATGTGGTCTTCAGAGTCATATACCAACTAGGGGTTAAGCAGGATGTTTACTGCCTAAACCACAGAAGTCATAATGGGTTTTGGTCTTGCCATTCCTTTTCTCAGTAACACACATTCTTTTGAACCCTAAGATAGTGTCTGCATTTCTTTTTGTGRCATCCAAGGGTCTGCTCTTATCTCTTTATACAGTATATGCTCARGACAGGGCTGTTTGAGTTGATGGAATAAGGTGAGAAATTTTACAAGTTTTGCTTTGGAAAATGCTACTAAGACTAGTGGTAATTTTCATTTTCTATCAAAATTTGTAGTTAGAGTTATCCTCATAAGACTGAGCYTGAACACCAACTTTGTCACATGTCTCCCCAATTCTGCATCGTTTTTCCTTTTTTTGTGTCCCCCCGGCACAGAAACTGGGTCTCAGTTTTGCATGTAAGTGGTCACTTCAGTGTGACCTCATTTGTATTACATTGATTTTCATATATTTTCCCCAATTGTTATAAAACTCTTGCGATCAAGTGTTAAAACACCTTTATCTTCCTGGATTACTTTTGTTTAATGACTTTATTGAATTACAATTTCTTATCCATATTTCTACAAGACGTAGATTGATGACAAAGATTTACACAGAAAATATGGAATTCAGTTTGTAAGCTGAATATAAGCGAGATACCCAGCCACACGCTGTGAACATGTGTGATCTCCTTAAGATATTAAATGACAGGGCAAATTTACCATAGTGCATAAAATTCTTTATTTAGAACAATAAAGTATATGTATATATAATGTAATTTCAAAGTCAAACCTGTATAAAAAAGGGTCAGGACACATACCTATTTTAAAAAGTACACATACAGTATATACACATACACATCACATTTTACAACCTTTTTTATTTAATTAGACTTCAGTCATAATAAAACTATTTAGAATAGTGTTGACATACATTTACATTACAATATGCAAACTCCAATCTATGACTGAACTAGAGATACATCTGTGCATCCATCTAAATATCTGAATACTTTTCAAGTCCAATGATTTAGAAAACAGTGGCAAGTGGACACTATAATCACACATTGATCCTTAGAGTACAGGAAATAGGCTATTTCGATTGGAAAATTACATTAAGTCTTACAGGTCAGAAATCAAGTAAATGAAAACACCATGGTTTTTATTTTCAACAATTATTATCTTAATTTTATTAAAAAATAATAYTATAAAATGTAGTTGGAGATGGCAGTTTTACATTTTTACAATGCTTAGCAAACATTTTAGGATCATAAGCATCCATTTTAATATGGATTATTTCTGAAACACCTTGCTATAAAATGTAAGTACCATTATTTGTCTTTAAAAAGGCATTTCAAGATTCGTTAATGGAAAGCAGCAACCCTATGAATTGTGTGATCAAACTCCACAAATAAAGCATTTTAAAGCCAATTTCAAAATAATGTTATTTCAAAGATAAGCTGGGTCACTTTAAAATTCTTGTCCCACCGTCCAAATCTAAAATGTAATTTATGGATTATCCTTTTATATATTGGTCCTAAAATATCTTTTGGCATGTATAAACTTTATGAGCATCTTAMATCTTCTACTGTGAGCTTTCAGTAAAATAAGGACATTTAAAGGCTTAATTTGGTGTATTTCCAAAAGTTATATGCATCTCCTTTTATCTCTTCCTTACTAAAATGTACTACTTGTTTTCATTCCTCAGAGGTGATCCAAAATATTTATTTAAGCAAAGATAAAAGCCATCTCTCATGTAAATGGTTACCCAATTCACCCTACTTGAGACTGAATTTCACTTTTACTAATGGACCCTATTTACATTAGAAAAAAAAAACAGCAATGACATTTTAAGGTCAAGATGCTTATTCAGAGATTAGAGTTGGATGTTTTGTATGGGAGAGTTTCTGTTCTATTTTCTGCTTTGTCCATCATAAGCAATAAGGACTCACCCTCAGAGAAGAGAAGCAACCTCCAAGTTTACCGTACAGATGAATAGAAAAATGAGATCCAAAGAAGGAAGGTCATTTGCCACAAAGGCAGAGTGGAGGCTCCTGAAAATCTTTTCCAACATCCACACCACTATACCAAACTGCCTTTATGAAGAATCCATTTCTGAATGAAGAATAGATACAGAATGACTAGAAGCTCCATATTAGAATTAGATCTGAAAACCAAAACCTAGCTGCAGAAGGACATTAGGAAATATCCATTTATTTCAGAATAGATTTTTCTGTTCATTTCTAACCCCAATTAGAATTAGAATAGTAAAATATGCCACAAAGTTTCTCTAGATACCTTAATGCTCAGTGAAATGTGTCTGTCTAGTTCTTACTAAAAGCAAATACTTCATTGTGGACATATACTTGTTCATATTTTCATTTTTTCACAAAAGTAATCCTTTTTAAAGAGCTAGTTTACTTGTTCTATTATTGTAATAAAAAATCAATTTGCCTCCGACTCATTAAAAGTGACAGTGTGGCAAGCACATTAGATTATAAAACCATATCTAAGAAGATCACTTCACTAGCACTGGGCAGGCAGGCCCCATTTATCACAGAGCCTGTTTTACTAYAGACGTGGTTTCTACCAAAGAGGTGCAGAGCTTTCAGTATAATTGARAATCTGCAGACATATGAGATCATTTTAATTAAAAGACAATTTTGAAATATTACAAGAGAGAACTATTAGATACATGGCACCAATTTCAAAGGTGATTTCATGGTTTATCATCTCAGTGTAAGTTTTCCATAATTTATAATAAAGGATATTTGAACACATATGGGATAAAATAAGCAAAGATATATATATTTATATATCTACATATATGTAATTTTTAATCTCAAAGCAGATATGACATAGTTAATGTCCAAGCAGCTAGCATCCAAAATAATGTTGAGCATTTTTCTATTATTCATGCGTTTTATTATACTTTAGTGTTTCAAAAATTGGCAATCCATGTAACTCTCAATGAACCCATACATTTAATAGACAGGATACACTCTTCCCTCTTTACCTTGTCAGATTTCATAACCTGCTAAGTTTGTTTACTTAGCTCTATTGATTACTACCATGTCCTTCAGTGTTTTAAAATCCAACTACTAGCTTTGAGAACAAAACTAGATTTAAGGAACTCTCAAGCTAGGAAATAGCATTTTCACATGCCCAAGGAAACTGAAACCACTGGATAAATAAATCAAGCTATTAGACTGAGAAGTATCAATCTTTTCCATCTATATACCACCTACACCTAAAACTCATGTTAACCTATGTTTATTTTCCTCAAAACAATCAATGCCACACACTGAGCTAGGTCCTTTCAGCAATTAAACTGATCTCTAATTTTATTACTAATCATTTGTACCACGGGGTATCTGAGGGCCTGAACAAGTTAATGCAGCTTCCCAATGCACTTGGATTGTATCATAAAGAAATGGTCTGCACTTGAGGAAGCACAGCAYGTTGGACAAGAAAGGGACCCTAGAAATCAGCTGAGCTCTTTGGTATAAAAAAAGAGCAAAGGCCACGTACTGAAACTGGATGTAGATTAGCTGTGAAGATGAGCTAAAATCCAACTACACTAGAAATTCTTGGACCTTTGAAATCAAAGGAAAGCTAGCAGTTAATTTTTCATGCCCTTTTGTATAACTACATTGAAAATGGTCAGCTTATGGTTATAGTACATGGCACTGGTGTTATCACAAGGATTTAGAATGAAAAGCTTTGGATTCTTTTATGTATTTGTTCATGATCTGCTAGAAGAACCTTATCAAAGTAAAAACTCTAAGAAAAATCACTCTTTGACTTTAGTCAGAAGTTCTTTCAACTATTAAAAAATTGACCAGGAGAATCAACATAATGTCTTACAAATTCTGGCTTAAAAGTACAATTTACATATTGGGAATTCTGCCGATTTCACTCTTAACATGACAAACGCCATCACACATTTTAAATAGCAAACTGACATGCATAACTACATAAAGCTCTCTTTTTGTTTATTTTTAATCCATAAACCTTAATGAATATAGAGTGCCTGATTTTAAATAAATGGTTCCTTTAAACAGATAATGGTGATTATACTATAAATAAAGTTTCCTGATTCCTTGCATTCTTGTAAAAGCCAAGTAACCTAGTTTTTCAATACCCATTTAGCATGTGGGTATGGTTTTCTAACCTTAGATGCTAAATATCATAATTTACTTTTTACTCTCTCCCATGGTGGAAATTGAAAATGGGACCTTCGTACATTCAGCATTTTCTCTCAAGTCCATTTACACAACTGTGTGATAGTTTTAGAATATAAGCCTGTCATAGTATATTTTGCAAACACAATTTACATGCTATAGAATGGTCAAGAGAAAAGGCCGACTTCATGAGGGGTGCCAAAGATCCTCCTGGGAACATTCTTCTGCTGGGCAGTGTTCATAGATTCTTCCTGGGGCGATGCTGAGAGTCTTCCCTATGCCAAGGCATTATGGTTCTAATTCAGCACTGGCTCCCCTGCATCGATAGAACCAGCCAGCCACCATGTCCATGAATCTAGTGGGATATGGGTGCGCATGTCTGTGTCAGAAGAGATCAGGACCAGACCCTTCTTTTTCATCAGGAACTACAAGACTGATAACACCTGTTCCAACCCCTCTGTTCCCACGGCTTCCCACACCTGACTGTAGCTGATACTACTGAGATTTTACTCTTTTTTTTTTTTTTTAAAGATAGTTTTCTAGATCCCTTTTAGAAAAAAAAAAWGTATTCCCCCTACTATCCCGGCTGACATCTACTTGCAGAGACCAGAACGACTACAGGCTTCAGGTGGTAACTGTAGARTAAAGCCGTGTGGTTTCTCAGCATTTCTGGAGCCGCGAAAATGGTGCCTGCAGACTGGGACACATGCTTTCTCGCCCATCATCACTTGCAAGTTCTGAATGAGACCACAAGACCCCCAGGTCCTGAAATAGAGTCCTGCTCCATGCAAGTTCTTCTTTATAGATGATTAATGCAGTGCCAGTTTCACAGTAAAACACTCTGTTCCAATTTCTGAATCATCCATATAAAGTCATGGGTAGCAAGAACAGATAAAGATGAGGTCTGTCACTTCAGACAGAATAGGAATTTGTTTAAAGCTGCTTCATTAATGAAGCAAACATGAACTGTTACCAGCCTAGAGGGAAAGGGAATAAAAAAGAGAGAGATTATGGTGTGTTCTCTTTCTGCCTTCTTTTTTCAATAGCTAAATTCATACAAAGCCCCAGAATGAATAACAGATTTATAATCTGTTACACTTCACCTTAAAGAAATGGATAAATTGTTTTCTTAGCTGTAGTGATCAGCCTACCCTCTCTGATCTCCCTGGGAACACTTAACATTATCTGAAATGATCTTATTTATTGCCTACATCCTTCCATTAGAATATAAACTCCATAAGGGCAGGGAACTGTCTATCTTTTTTTACTGTTTTGTCTCAACTTCTACTAACAGTGGCCTGATACATAGTATACACTCAGTAAATATTTGTTGAACATAAAAATGGATCCATGAGTTCCCTTTGGCTTTCTTACCACCAATTTATCTCAGGGACATCACCAGTTATCTCAGTTTGTGATGAGAGATTTATCAGTCTCTTTAGGTYGGAGTTTCTCTAGCAAGGCTACAAAAGGTAATAGACCAATGATGTGGGGAGAAGCAGTGAAGAACTAAGCAAAGTCTGGAGAATGAAGAGTGGAGAAGTCTAGATAGAGGGAACAGCATGAAACAGATACCTGGGACAGGTAGAGAAGCAGGTCAGAGGCCACCAACAACTAACAGCTTCATAGCCACTAAGCAGCTTCAGTATCCTGACCATCTAGATAGGTTCTACAAATCACTTCTCCCAACAGAGGAAATATCAGCACCAATATCTCCTTTAATATTTCCACTCAAAAAAAAAAAAAAAAAGAAATCCTGGCACTACACACTGACAATGGCCCGGGAGAGTTTCATTTTGGCATCACTACAACCTATTATATTTAGGGAAGCACAAAATGACATACTGTGTTTTATCTGTTCAGTGGCGGGAAACCACTGAGCTTCCAGGATTTTCAATTTTCCAGTAAAGTTTTTGTACATCCTTATCTACTTTTTAAAAAATTTAGAGTGCCTTCATTTTTATCTTCAATCACATCTGCTAAATAAATTGTTTTGCATTTCTCTTCTGCCCTACATACTCCCTTTTCTTACTTTTGTGTTTATTAAGCAATTCTAAACCCAACGACCACTGGTTTCAAAATATTGCGATCATTACACAAAATATATACAAAATTTCATAGTGTGAAGAATAATAATTGCAGTACTTTTAGTATTTTTGTCATACATCTAGAAAGCTATATTATTTCATATTAATTTACCAGAGAGGTCTAGAAACTAGAGAAGTGGTATGTAAGAAAGCAGAATTCAATCCAAAAAGAAAAATTAAGAGACTTTAAAACTTCAGAAAATCAAAATATAGAAGATATTTTAAAAATAAAGCATGTTAGAAAAGCAAAAGGGAATCTAAAAAAAATCAAAAGAGTATTTTTTAAAGGTCTAAAAAATTTTAGATTCTAGAGTTAATTAAATGTAAAGAAGTAAGATTGGAAATCTATTTTTGATTTTGTCCCTGGGTCCCCTAGTAAAGAAAACAAACTTTAAGGCTGAAAACTGCTTTCACATAGAACTAAACTACAATTTCTGTAATGATACCCTGATTTTTTTTATAACAACCTCATGCAATAAGCAGGATGAGTATTATTATCCTCTCATGATACAGTGATGTGTCGCTTAATGATGGGGATGTGTTCCGAGAAATGAGTCATTAGGTGGTTTTGTTGTTGTGCAAATATCATAGAGCATACTTGTATCAACCAAGATGGCATAGCCTGCTGCACACCTAGGCTTATTATAATCTTATGGGACCACCATCAAATATGTGGTACATTGTTGACCAAATATCAAAGTGATCTCTGACCGCAGTTTGTAGTTTTTTTTTTTCTTTCTGATTTAGTTTATGCCATTTTTAGTATATGAGAAACCAAGGATTAAAAGACACTGACTGGCTTACCTAAGATCCTATATAATTAGTTAAGTTACAGATCCAAGACTTGGACTCAGGTCTAACCCTTTCTAATACTCTACTTTTTAATGTGGCTGTGAAAGAAGGCTCAAAAACAACATTCCCAAAGCTCAAGAAACTTTTAGAAAATCTCTGGTAAAGAGTCAGAGGTCTTGATAACTGGGAATCTACCATTCCCAAGTCCTGTGACCTAAAGGTCCAGACTTGACTTGAGCTTGTCCTTATTCCATTTCTAAGATCTACTTTCTCATGTTAGCTTGCTTTTTTTTTTTTTTTATGAATCTCTCCATATGCCTTACCTACAATGAGAATGTATTTCTCCACTTACCAGGCTGTGTAAGTCAAGAAACTGCTAACTGAGTACATGCTGCATTTATTATAAACTGGACTGGACCTTTTCTGTAACCTGAGTTACAGAGACCTGAGTCCTACTCTCAAGGTCTCAAGAAATTTTGTTGATGATCYCCAAATTCCAAATCTCAACTGACACATTTGGCCACTGGTCAGTTTCAACMATATGTATCAACACCTTCTCCTGACCACCCTTTTTCTTTTAATAACACTGCTAGCTGCTAGGACAGATCATTGTTGGATCCTGTCAAACTTCAAATACCATTTGAAKCTAGGATTTGTTGATGAATCATTTATTGCAATATCTCCAAAACTGTCTATACTTTCCTATGTCCACTCAGGTAGTCATTTTCTTACATCCAACTGGAAGACAGGGMCTCTTAGATAGTCTTCTATCCTCCACTTAAATATTCCCATCCTGGCTACACYTCTCAATTACTTTTCCTAAGCCTTTGCTGTGACTTCGTCACCTACCTCTTTTCTAACCCCTCAAACAACTCTTTAGATTGTCTGATGGAACATAAGCTATAGTACYAGAATTAAAGCCATCTTTCAAAATGATGCCCACCTTTTCTTCTCAGCATTTTAATCTTTTATGTGTGACCAGCTGTACAAAGTGACCTTTAAACACAGTTTGTACTTTGGGGCCTTCCTGACTTAGTTTATGCCATTTGCAGTATCTAGGTGAACCCTTTCTTAGAACCAATAAAATCTTACCAATCATCCAAGACCTAATGCCACCTCCATCACYGACAAAACAAAGTCCTTTTGTTCCTCGTGATTTCTCTGTCCCTYTCAATAAGGTGAGCCATATATGCTTGTGTATCGCACAATTCTAAGGGATGCCATCCACACCAGCATCTAGAGTTGAGTTCACACCGTGTACAACCATAGGCAGAAGCCCCAACTCTGATCTCTGGTGGCATTTTGTCAACTTCCTTAGTTATCTTCTAAACTTCATAATCTTATAGTTTACTTTTAGAACTGGTTAATATATATATATGTCTTATTGCCTTTTGTAGGCTATACAATTTGACATAAATAGATCCCATTAAGCTTTGTGTCCACCAATACGCATATGAAAGTTTGTTATAATCACATTTGTGGAAGAATAAAGAGCGAAACTTTCCCAGAGCATACTACTATAAATGCAGCTTTTAATGTTAAGTTATTTAGATTTTCTTTCTTTTAAATTGTGTTACATACAACCGAATACATGAAGAGTTCTTGTACACAGCCACATATGGATATTGGCATTAGCCAGGTGAAAAAAGTAGATCCTTAATTTCTCGTGTAAATGTTTTCATGTTTGATGTCAAATAAACACAATTTCAGTATACTTTTTCTGAGAAGCCACTATTTTTTTCTAGTTCATTACTTAGTTCCTTCCATTTTCTTTCCTTATATTTCAATATTAGATCCTTCTAACCTTTTGTTTCCAAATTATGGGTTATTTCCTTTGGAGAATTAACTATTCCATATGATTTATATTTTAGTGTTCAATGTTTGTCTTGATTTTCTTTTAGTTAGTGAAACTTCTATTTCAAGGAGAAATCCTTATCATAAACTTGAGCCATTCCCTGTGTTTCCCTTTTCTCRTTAACTAAGAGAGCAATTTAAAATCTAAATTACAACTAATTTTTAAAAATAAATAATTACAATTCCACATTTTTCTATCTTGATGCTTTTTACTATGTTTATTATTACTGGATGATTTCCGGTTCTGCCACATCATATTTTGCTCTCTTGAGCATTTCCCTGTATCACAAACTTACCTAAGTAGACTTAAAGACCCCTGGAGTGTTTTTCACCCRAACTGGCACAAGGCCACGGTGCAGGCTTTACTGTATACCATGGGTAGTCAATAAGTTCTTAAAAATGATATACACACATTTTGACTTTGGGATTTGTAGGTTCGTGGTGACGAGATGCTTCCCTGCCCTAACGATACCCTACTTTTCCCTCAGCACTTGAATTCTTATTTAACCACATAAATACTCAAGTTTGTCTTTTTATTTCCATAAGTGTTATGCTCACATTATTAYTACCATTCTTTGAGATATTCATTCATCTCTTCATTCATTTATTCAACAAATATTTATTCACTACTTGTATGTACAAAGTATAAGTAATATGATTTAGTGGAATTCCAAAATTAAAAGAAACAAATACTGCTCTCTGAGAGCTTATGGTTTCAAGAAGACACAAAATGTCTAAGTAACCATGATGCCCTACCATGAGTCATGTGAAATGTAACCTGAGTCACAATAGAGATTCCTTATAGTGGGAAGTTTTGGGGGTGGGRGTATCCACACTGGGCCTTGAGAGGGCTTTGTAGAGATGGAATAAAGGACTCTATGAAGGAGAATCCAGTCACTGACTTATTACAACCACCATCCATTTTACATTTACTGMTCAGGAGGTGTGACAAGTTTATTTCTGAACAATTTGGGTTCTTTTACTTGTCTAATTTGATTTATTATATCTACAAGTAATATTTCATACTTTTAAGGAAAATAAAATTAACAGTAGATTTCTCATATGACTACATTACTCCTTGCTGTGCACATCTTACTGTCCCATTGACCAAAACAAGTAAAGTAAACACATACATATATATACACAGACACAAGATAGAAATAAGCCCTACTTCAGAACTATCTACCTTACCACTCAGTTAAATTTTTATATAGGCCTTATTCATTCACTCATTCATTCAGTCTCTCATTTAGCAAACATTTATCAAGTGTCCACAATGCACAAACAACAAATTTTTGCTGAGGATATAGCAAGAGCCAGGCAGATCCAGCTCCTGTCCCTGCATGCTATCTATATGCATAAGTTTTTTGACTATGTTGTTTTAAAATGCCTTCTTTCTGGGCTGGGGTTGTGGCTCAGCGGTATAGCGCTCACCTAACACGTGCGAGGCCCTGGGTTGGATCCTCAGCATCACATAAAAATAAATACATAAAATAAAAGTATTGAATCCAACTACAACTAAAAAATAAATTAAAAAAAAATGCCTTCTTTCTCCCTCCTAAACAGGTGGCCTGGGTCTCCCGTCATAACTCATTCTCCAAATGTCACAGGACAAATGCCACAATTAAGGTCACATGACTGAAAATCTGTGTGCCCGAACAGAATCCCCATAATGCCATCCAAATCCAAACAACAGAGGTCAGTAATTGAGCTTTTATGAACCAATGAGCCATTTAATGTGTGGTTTGTGGATATCTTGCTTAAGAGAACTGAAAGGGCAGGAAAGAAATAATGAGGCTTGAGTTGGGATTAAAGGACAGAAAAGGGCTGCCAAGAAAAACAATGATTTCTGGTTGGTTAATATTGCTCTAGAAAATAGAAAGGGTCCAGTAAAGAATAGAAAAAAAAAATGAGCCAAAAAAGAAGCTAAGATGGGAATAGAAAACAGAAAGTGCTATCCATGCTTTGGATGCTTTGGACACAGGGATTGACACTATGATTGAAGGAAAATAAAGAAGTGTTTGCAGCAACAGGATTAAGTGTTCAAGAAATAGGCTCAGTAATTACAATATCATATTATGTTGAGTAGCTGAAGAATGATCTTTTAAAACAATAAAAGTGAGTTCCTAGAGGAAGCAAGAGACTTTAGCCCAGCTCCCTGGGGGGAAGACTCAATCTGGAGATAAATGTCTGAATCTAGGATAGAAGTGAAAGCTGGAAGGTCAGTAAGGAAGAGGAAGGCTCAGCACAGACAGCATTGAGAACCAGCTCCAAGAGTGCACGGTCCTCTGAGACCAGACAGTGCAGGGAGGAATCAAGGTCCTTCATATACCACTGTGGTAGATGTGCTCAGGATTCAAGGAGCAAGAGCACACTTAGAGCCAGGCAGCAGAAATGGAAGGTGGGGAGGGCATGAATTGATACTGGATCAAGCTAATGCCATTGGGGTGTCCCCTAACTACATCTACAGCGTGGGAGCACGGAAAGTAGGCAGGTCAGGAGATGATGAGCATTAGGTCCTTCGGGCCAAGCCTTACTCTCCTTCCTTGCACAGTCCCACTCCATACCACACAAGCACAGCAGGTATCTGTCACTGGTTTATCCTCAATGCATCCTGCTCTCTGGATTGCAATAAGCCATACTTATTACCAGTCATGTGACAAGTGGCTCTTTCTTTTGATAGTTTTACTCTGCTGATTGTACAATATTTTTACTTTTTCTCCTCTTCCTTAAAGTGGCAGAGAAACATTTTTGGTTTTCTCTTCTTTAGCACCTAACAAATGTTGACACTGTCATGTTATGGTGGTTCCAYCTAAATGAAATTGGTCTTATTTATTTTTCCTCTACTAATCATATTTTATTTTACTCCTAATTTGCTCTGTTTCTTTTGTCTAGTTTTTTTAACCTCAAATATACTCCAAGTAAATGTCAGCTGTTAATTTTTTTGTATATCTCCCATATAAGATGAATCAGGACTAACCCTGCTTTATCTCTGAAAACTTGAGAATACACAAAGAGTAAGATATGCACAACTCAATTGTGTTACAACTTCCGTTAAAATACTGACATCTGCTTGATAGAGGATATAACAATAAAGTTTGTTTCTAAATTTTGGCCTCTAAGATGTTATATAGTTCTTACTAAATATTTCAGCCTGAATTGTACAAACTTACCAATGTATGAAGGTAACAGTGTTGATACAAGCCACGATTACACTTCTTGAAACTCTCTCTCTTTTTCTTGCAACATACTGAAAAACAAGAAAAATGCTTTATGTGCTTTCAGAGATTCTGAAGTATGGTATAATCTGGGTATTGTAAAAGGCTATTTATCTGTAAATAAAGTAGCAAAACACTGCAAAATTGGGTGGGGAACCTTAACTTCAGAAATACAACTACAGGAAACAAGATAACTTTATCTGTCTCAACAGTCTTCCCAAGAAGATAAAAAAAAATTCTTTTAAGTACATACTAAAGATGCTTATGTGCACTTAATATGTGTGTACATAGACACAGACACAATGAGAGAAAGTAACATGTTGAAACTGCTGGGCATGTTGGCTTTCGTATCAACTATTTGGGAGGTGGAGGGAGGAGGATCTCAAGTTCAAGGCCAGCCCGTACAATTTAGTGAGACCCTGTGTCAAAATAAAATATAAAAAGGGTTGGGATGTAGCTGGTAGAACACTTGACTAGCATGGCAAGGCCTTGGGTTTGACCCACAGTACAACATACACACAAAAATCCATTTCGAAAATTACAACCACAGGTAAATAAAAATGAAATATTATTCCTGGGAGATATGGGGTATGGTACAAGAGTTATCAAGGTCAGCTATAATAATGCATGTTGAGAAAAGTTAAAGGCTCTGAAAATCAGAGTGACATAAAACATATAAAGTAGGCAAGAGAAAGTCAATGAAAACATTTTGAAGAGGAAGTGACATTTCAGACAAGGATTTAAGGAAGAATATAACAAAGACTGAATTTAGAAGGGCTAGAGATTCTGTGGCAGCAATTTAGACAACAAATAATACAGAGAGTGACAGAGATGACTCAGCCAAAGAACTGTATTTCTTTGTGATAGTGTAGAAAAGAAAGAATAAGCAAAGGTACCTAAGAGATAATTATGAGAAGGTGTTATACAGGTAAATAATGTAAGGCTGAAGAGACAGTGGAAGGTCAGAGTCATAGAAGAGGATTTGGSACACATCACGAACCTTCATCATAARATTAACAACTTCTCAAAGATGTAATGAGCATGTGCAYGCACAATTCCTAGTAATGACAATGTCGAGCCTGCTTGTGAACACATTTAACAAAACACAATACCTTATCTCATTATCCTCTTCGTTAATCTGTATATTTTCACCTGCCCTTGTAAGATTTGGTTGTCTCTTCTGGAAAAAGAGCAAAGACATATATTATAAAAATGAAGTTAAGAGGTAGGTGGTCATTTATCTTAATATCAATAGTTCTGTAACAGTTTTTTCAACATGCAAAATATTTTTGCAGCAAAAAGTTATGAAAAGTGCTTGTGATATCAACTCAACATTTTTAGGATGTTGGGGTGAAAGAGTAAAAAAAGAAACTGTCAGATTTGAGCAGTAATCAAATTCAAAAGACATTTCTAAAAGCGGAGTCATAATGATTTAGCACATTTTATAATTTCAGACAGGCTTCAATAAGAGAACAAAAGAGCACTAATGCAAATGGCATTTATTTGGTTATTACGCATATTGTATGATTCCCATCATATTTTCTTCCTTTTTATATTTAGTTCAACTCTTAAGCCCGATCCTGATCCTGTTCTTTAAGCATTGTGCTGTAGACTACGGGTGTTCTTAGCCAGAGGGATTATCTCCAAAGCATGAGGAACAGTGAAAACTTCTCTAAAATTTAAATTTTGTTGAGACTATAAGTTAAGGTAAGATGCATTGTTTTCTCAACAGGATCTTTTTTTGGAAAACGGAAGATTGCTAGTGATATGTATATAAAGTATGAACAAATAAATATGTGAAATTGATCAAGAGGAAAATAGCAAACTTACCTTCCAGTATAAGGCTCCAAAAGCAAAGCCAATTACAAGAGAAAAGAATGCTGGCAAAGCCATGGCTGCCCATTGCAGGCTGGGGTCTTCGATGGAATTTGCTGCTTTCCCTGTGATTTAAAGAACACAGTYGTGAATCCAGAGGATCCATCCTACAGGTTTTCCTCTTATCCTGTGGTTGTTCCCAAGTGTTTCCATATGTACTCTTGACCTATATCTGCTTAAAGTATTCAAAAGTCTGATTTTTTTCTCTTGAGTTTTATTTTTGCAAGACAATGTAAGTCCATTAATCTCCAAAAGATGAATGCATTTTAAAAAGAAAGAAACCAGACAGAGAGAAAGAGATTTAAGTTGGTTAATGTTCATGCACATGGAACACAGCCTTGGCATACTTCCAGGGGTGAAAGGGTTCTCTATCAAACAATTCTATCTATGTCTTTATCTTCTAATGTCTTTTCACTTTCTCATTCTTGCCATCTTATTCCCAGATTTTAAAGATAACATTTTAAAAGCTGGACTAGGGTCTGTATACACTCAGTGAAGTCTRCCTGGCTGAAAATCTTAAAGTCATTAAATGTATACTGTAGTTGTAGTAATTTGGGTACTTCATGCTTATAATTATGGTTATTTGYTCATTCATACCTTCAACACACACATACTGAATGCCAACTACTATGGATGGTCTAACTGGTTGAATTTTTCAYTTTTTACATGGGAAAGCTTGAAACAATATAACAGAGAATGGTTGCAGCCACCAGGGTCACCTTATACTAAGTATGTCAAAATAAATAACTTAGTAACAAAGAAGACACACAGGATTGGCTTGGGACGACTTCCATAATCCTGCTTCCCTTTTCTATAATAGGCAGAGTGATTCATGAATTAAATAAAACATAAATAAAATTCTGACAGATTTTTCTGGATGCCTGCTTACAAAGATCAWATTGTTTGGAAACACACATATTTGTTGGTTTGTAAGAGTTAAATTTGATGTTTTCTTTCAAAGAATTTAGAAATTATAAATTTCCCAATCATTGTATGATCAAAGTGTAAACTAACTCAAGGTAAAGTAACTCTTYCTAGTTGATTTTTCACCAGTATTTGGGTCAGCATTGAGCGYACCTAAAACACCTAATACAAAGAAYGAATTTACTGTGTGTGCTACTCAATGTCTACAAGGGGAGAAAGATAAACTCATGGATTTTATCTAAGAGGTAGCATATAGGTGTTATCTACTGTAGTGRGAACAGGAATTGCCCATTTCCTCCYACTTCCCAYTCCCTAGCATCTGTGAGCTGGGAGCAGAAAATTTCCTGATCACATGACTCCTGTTTCCAAAGAGACCCTGTTGATAAGATGTTTGCATGTGTGCTCACATGCATGTGTGGTTGTTGGAGGGGAGAGGATGGTGAGGAATATGCATGTAGTATTAAGTACCTGGGGCTGGGTAGGGATGTATACCAAGTGGGGTCCTCATTTACMTAATCAAGAATCCCCTCCTTGAGATTGAACTAATAGTTCTTCTGGCMTACTCCAGATTTGTCCCACAAATCTTATCGTCCCACAAAGGCTGTTTCAGGCACCTCAAATTAGACCTCAATATAAATTTTCTCACCAAAATAAACTTGAATGATAAAATGAGATTTGGTACAATTGAAGTACAATTTKGTACTGATTATCACATTAATTTAGTTATTTTAAGGAAGATTACCCTCCTTAAAATAGTCTGGGATGTAAGTACCATTTATAAAAGTGTTTTCTMTGAGAAAATAGATTCAGGCTTAAAGCAATTACTACCATTTTAGGAATTTTAATATTAATATCTAAAATAAYTTGGTTCTTTGTTTCTGGGAAGCTCCTTGGTGAACAGCCTGCTGTGGTCTCCACTGTCCATTGGGATTGTTGAGTGCATAATAATGACGAATTTGATTAGGTGACTTCCTGGAGAGACCCTAACCAATRTACAGAGAATGAACAAAGGAAGTTATTGATACTCTGCCCCCAAAACCAGTGGAAAATTCCACTAAGTTAAGATGCTGCTAAGGAGAGCTCCATGACTAATGCTTGGTTAACCAGATGTTGGTATCAAGGCAGCCTAGCATCCTGTTCCTCCTATTCTATCCAAAGGCCAAACCAGCGTCTTGGATTTCACCACTCAGACCAGGAGAAACACTAGGCTCACTAGAAAAGGCATAGTGAGATTACCAGAGGGTGAGCTGTTCTAGAACTCACTACCTTGAGCCTTTCTCAGGTAGGTTGAAGGGGCTAAAGGAGGGGCTTCAAACTCAGCCATGAGGGAGTCCTTGCTAAGGAAAGCACACGTTCCTCTCTGTAGTGCTGTGACTTCTATCAGTTGAYAGTTCCATCCCTAGGCTATGGGCTAATACAGCAGCAACAGTCTTCCTAGAAGACAGGGGAAAGGACAGGGACTCTAAAAACATGGAGGAGAATGAATTGACAGCTACTGAGTGGCGTTTCCAATGGAGGTCAATGTTACCCTTACTTTCGTTATTTCAGTCATGAATGCATAGAACTTAAAAGCCAGGTCTTCAGTTCTGCAGGGATACTAGGTCYCTTTTGCAGAGACAGAAAAAATACTTTATCAGAAAGGGCTTGCTTACCTCTTGAGGGGACTCCCACCTTGCCACCAGTAATCTATGGGGTTTAAATTGCTTGCCCCAAAGCCCATATGAAGGGGATTTGGATTCAAAGCCCAAATGGTGGTAGCCAAGATTTACCGTTTATCCAAAGACTGGTTGCAGAGACTTTGTGGGCAGGGAGAGCTCATCTGGACAAGATTTGAGTAATTCCAAATTCCTGGGTTATTACTGTATTTATTGTGTCTCATTATTACTGAGACTGTCCACTGTTCAAACTGCTTAGGAACTGACTTGCCTAATCTGATTAATAATAACTGAAAACTAGAAAAATAGAACACGCAAAACAAATAGTGCTGTGGCCTGGTGTGTTGATGCAAACCTCTAATCCCAACGATCTGGGAGGCTGAGACAGAAGGATCACATATTGGAGGCCAGCCCATGCAACTTAGTGAGACCCTGTCTCAAAGATAAAAATTAAAAAGTGCTGAGGAKGTAGCTCAGTGGTAGAGGGCCCCAGTTTGACAATCTTGTTAAACTTCTTTTTAGAGTAAACCTGCTTAGGAACTTCACACCAATAAAYATGGGTCTTTCGGTGCTTAGGAAACAGGCAAATCCTTCTAGATGAAGATCCCAAACCAAGTGCTTATAATAATTACTGACCTGAGGTCTTACTGCATCAAATCATTCTCATAATCACTGATGAACTCTTAACTAGATGACAGGCATGCCTCTAACACCTCTAACACGTGTACTAACTCATTTACAACTCAGAAACTCTGTGAAGTAGGTGTCATCACCTGCCAATTGACTGAGAAGTCAGAGGGTTTAGGTAATTTGTTTAAGGTCACACAGCAAGCCAAGAGCTACGGGCACCATGTGAGTCCAGGTGGTTGGGTTCAAAACTATTTGTAGAAGATGTACAGGGTAATGTCAAGGTAAGGATTTCTTTCTGTATAATTTACACAGTTTGTAAGGACCTCAAACAACTCTCAGACACACTTTTACTTGGCATAAAGGATGTTACTATTACATTGTACATGTAATTCTCTTTGTATAAATAGTATGCTTGTTTATTATCCCATGAGTCTCCCTTATATACTCTCACCTTTCATATGCTCTGACCCTCTCTCATGGCCAGGTTTTAAGTCTTCTCCCTAAAAACTATCATGCCTTTTTCAAATTTCTCTGACCCTTCCCTACCCCCCAAAAAATCCCATCTCCTTTATTCTTCAAGTAAAACATTTATAGAATTTGTTTGTTATACATATCATTTACCCTACTAGACATTTTATTTGCATCTCTGCTGTTTAGAATGTGAACACAACAAATGTTGACTTGTGCATTGGTGTCTAAGTGGCACATTTRTGAGTGACGTTATACCTAGCCAAAAACTGTTGACAATGCAAGATCCATATTTTTTAAAAAAGGAAAAAAAAAGCACAACAAATTAAAAAACAAAACAAATCAAAAAAAGGCTATCCATTCATCTTGCAATTTAAAAAAGTGTCTTCAGGCTCAGGGGCTCAGGATTGAATAGAATTTTTACATTCAGTTTCTTTGAAAATCAATAGGAAAGACTTTTGCTTCCACCCATGATGGTAGTGGGCTAGCCTTCCCAACATAAGTAATTATAATTCTGGACAAATTTTATGAAGCAATTTTTTTTCAGAAATCAGCTGACATGAAGTCCAAAAGTGTAATTCCTAGGAGGAAAAATATATAAAGTAAGATCCATGAGAGTCCTGGCTCTCTGGATTTTGGCACTCCTAGCTGGGAGGCACCTTCAAATTGAGAGGCGCAAGATAGTACCCAAGTTTCAATGAGCTCACCAAGATATGGAGTTAGAGGTTCAAGTTCAGGTTTGTTGATACAGCCATGGCTATAGAGCTAGGTTATTTGCAAGAAGAGAGCTGTGCAAAGTGGCACCACTGATCTCTAGACAAGTTTCCTTCAGCTACTTGTCAGATAATAAGTTGTACATGCACAGGGAGAGACATCATAAAACGGGGCAAAAACACAACTCCTAGGAAGCTATAATTGCTATAATCTTACTAGAGACCTTGACAGTCACAAACCAATGGGGCAAAGGAGTTCTGACAAGTAAAATTGTTGAGATTTTTCTTAGTAGTCTAGAAATGTCTCAGAAATCCAGGGCCTCAAAAATAAGGCTACTAAAACAGGCATAAAGGCACAAACCTGTAATCCCAGTGACTTAAGAGACTGAGGTAGGAAGAATGCAAGTTAGAGGCTAGACTCAGCAACTTAGCAAGACCCTGAGCAATTCAGTGAGACMATGTCTCAAAAAGGCTAAGGATATAGCTTAGTTGCAAAGCACTTGCCTGGCATGTGTGAAGCCCTGGGTTCCCAGCACCACTCCCCCCACCTACCCCACAAGTTAAAATAAGACTACTAGCTGCTCCCTCTCTCCAGGAAAGTTTTTAAACAAGCCTGGAAGGAAGATAAAGCTCATCTATATAAGTAAGTGAACCTCCTATCAGAACAAAACATAATGGCCTTTAAGGAAATGCTACAAAATCAGGAAGATGCTTAACAATAGAGTTTCCATAATATTTAGCATATATTCAAAAATTACTAATCATTTAAAGAGAGAAAAAGGCAAAAGAAACTAAAGCTAAGATGGTCTACACATTGAAATTTGGAGACAGGAACTTTATAACAGCTCTTGTAATGTTTAAGGAACAAAAAAAGAAAATATTATCATAATAAATATGTAGATGGAAAATATCAGCAAAATATTAAAGTAATTAAATGGAAATTCTAGAACACAAATTATAAATTAAGAAAAAAATTCACTTGATGAAGAATTTAGCACTTTTATGGATGGCAGAAGAAAAATCCAATGAACTAGAAAACARACAAGTGAAAAGTACTCACTCAGAACAACAGAGAGAAAAGAGGATAAAAGATGAACAGAACTTCTGCAACCTATGATGCAGTGTCAAACTGCCTAAATGTATGTGATTGGTATTACAGAAGAAGAAGTACTTCTAGGTTTGGTGGTGCTGCCTCTAATCCCAGAAGCTTGGGAGGCTGAGGCAGGAAGATTCAAAGCCAACCTCAGCAACTTAGTGAGGCCCTAAGAATCTCAGTTAAGACTCTGTCTCTAAATAAAATATTATATGAATTTTAATATAATATTTTTTAAAAGGAGGGCAGGGTATGGTTCAGTGGTTAAGCATTTTGGGTTCAATCCCCAATACCAAAAAAAAA